ACGTGTTCGTTCCCAGAAGAAAATTTGCAACCTTTTTCATGCTCAAACAGCACTTTACACACTAAAGAAAGTTTACACACTGTAAGAAAGCATAATAGGTCCTCTTTAAAGGTTATAATTCTGTCATGATTTAGGATGGGTTTCTTCTGTGGAAAATAGATAAAAGATGTTTAGATGATGATAAAGTAAACTCAGATTCTCTCCTCTCAAGAAATTACATTAAAGTATCATAAAAGTAGTCAAGCCGTACAATAGCATTGTGTGAGGAACAAAAGGAAATTGTGTCAGTTATTTGCTGAAAAATCTAATAACAGTGGATAAAACAAAGCACTTACAGTGGAATTAAATAGAAGAAAACAAGACAAGGTGGTATTTTATTTGATACACACTGTTTCGAGAGTGTTGCCACAAGACTTAAACGTTATACACAGAAAATGTAAACCCATGATATGTGTAAGGATAAAAGAAAATTACATTTCATATTTTATATGCATAAACACAAATCGTTTACATAGCATAGCTAGGTTGAATAAGAAATTGAGAGAAAATGCGTGTCAGAAGAAGTGCGTCTTTATAAAGTTTGTTTTCCGAATGTCTCGAAAATTGTCATGCATTAATGATGCCAATAATTCTGGTTTGGGTGAACCTGTTTTTAGTGTAGCCTGACTTTTTGATTTTATTTTACTTTGCACAGTTTTTTTGATACTGTATAATGATTTTTTGTACAGAGGAATTATTGTTAGCACTTTAAAGGTGCCATCTGGAACTAAAAATCAAAAAACATTCCATATTCCATAACAGATGGGGGCAGTATACCTCCAGAAAATGTGTTGTACCGCGGCCGCGCACACTCGCACGTCTTCAAACAACACAAGCGAGCGCTGTTTTGCTCTCTTTCTCCGCATATTATTCAAATCATTTGACACAATAGTAAAAGGTCGGAAGACTGCAGTTTCACATGGAGCATTTGGAGATTTCTAGAGATCAGAGACTCAATGAACAACATCTCAACACTAAATGATGAAGACCGTCTCATAGACGCCTGTCTCAAGAACAAGCTGGTGCATTTAGACGATATGGGAAAATAAAAGCCTGCGGGCAGTTATTTGAAGTTTATGGTATTCGTTTTGTTCATATTACAGTTTTATTGTTAGTTTGAATTAATTTGACAGACAGCGTTCGCTGATGTTGATCAACCTAGCGCCATTCAGAGCTGCCAACTCTCACAAATTCACTGTGAGACACATGCAATGAACACTTAGCAAGCAGGTTAGTTAAGCTCTCAAATTCTGTCAATTTTATTACGCAATTCAAATAATAAATACCGTTTTGGCGCTTGTACATGTTACACGACAGATCCCTAGCTCACATGAACTGATCATCTCTACTAGCTAATGGAAAAAGAAAACGAACACTGTTGAAAGATACAGTATGCTACAACTTACCAAAATGTATTCCTCATGCATAATGTCGACCAATCATTTTTTGAACTCTTCCCTGAACTAAAATGTAGTAGTGGGCTGTATTTCCACACGACTGACATCAGGTTCAAGTACACACACAAGCCGCGCGAGTTACTCGTCTATTGCAGTTTGGCTGGTGGTAATGTTGCCCGCCCGCATACCGCCTCCCATGGCCGAAACTGGTATTACGACACCTGCCGGGCCGGGGCTAGTAATTTAGCATGCTAATTTAGGTTTATATCTCGGCAGCACTATAACTTATCAGTTTTTTAATTACATCATTGCACTTATTTCTTCTCATTCTTTTGATGCGTGTAGCTCATTTTTTGGATATTTTTACCTCAATTATTACATATGGCACCTTTAACCAAGTCTTTTTGAAAATACTTTGAAGTACATTGCTTCCATTTATTATTTTGCATTGCAAGTGCCTTACTATAACTATAGTTTGCTATATGAAAAAAAAATGATTAGTTGAAAAAATCTTGTGTTTCTGAACCTAAAATAACAGGGTAAAGTTGTATTTAACCCTCAATATGCTTTTCAATCACTGAAGTCTTTGTTTTAGACATGCTGACGATGCTGTGAAATCTGTGTGTGTTTATAGGTTGCTGTTGTGGGACTGTGATGAGAGGAGCTATAGCTATTACGTTGAGCTGTCCACAAACCAGCAACATTGGGTGAGAGTCATAGACCACACAAAAGTGGCATGCAGGTCAGTGAATGCTGTTTTTCTTTTTATTGTTATCTCATTATTTTCTTGCATTATGTCTAGAACCACCTCAGAGTTTACATAAGTTGCATGTAATTCTTACAGGTCGTGGCAGAATCTGACGTTTGACACACAGCCTGCATCCTTTATTCGTATTGTGGGAACTCACAACACCGCTAATGAGGTGAGCGATCTCTGCAAACTCACAGGATGTGTGTCTGGGACTCTTCCAGCATCACATTAATGCTGCATTCATAAGCTTACATCGAGATAAGATGATTTTAGTTTCTCATCGTATTGCAAAACAAATTCACATGCTGTGTTTGTCAAAATAATGACATTTTTGATGAAATTCTCCACTAGGTTTTTCACTGCGTTCACTTTGAGTGCCCTGCACAGGTGGATGTGGTTGTTAAAGAAGGAAGTTCTGGGCCAGATCAGCTCAAACCAGAATCCAGCTCCCAGTCCTCCCGTTCACAGGGCCTGACGCCCCAAAAACCCTTCACGTCTCCACACGCATAGACTGGATGTTTCTGATAAGACACACTTGAGATGCTCAGATTGTGTTCTCAAGGTTGCGTGCTGCTAAACAAAGAATTCTTTATATTTATATTGAGAAAATACTTGAGCTGATTATAACAGGATGGTGAGTATAACAAGTACTGTCACATGCACTTATTTTATGATGTTCGGATACCTACAGAAAAACATAAGTATTACAGACTTAATGGGTTTTGCAATACTGTCTGGTTTATTAGATATCTTAAAATTGTTTATCGTAGAAAAGTAAACAAATATCCTGTTTAAAATCAAAAATTAAAATCACCATGAAACGGAAGTTGTGATAGTCTTTCCTTTCCTATTGTGACACTTGATTTTGTCCATGGGGAATTGATTGGATGGTTTGCTGTTGGTCTATCTCATGTGAGTGACAGGTCGTATGTACCGCCCTCTCACCAGTAAACGCATCATCAGAGAAGAGATGTTATTTTGATTAAAGATTATGAAGGCACATGAATAAAAAAAGATGTGCATGGATAAATCATTTATAATAACTACTGCAATATTCCATAAAAAAAATTATTTTAAATCACCATGAACTGCATTTGCCTAAAAGTCACTTGAATTTTTATTTATTTATTCTAATGCTTTAAAATCCATTAAAATTGTAACGCTTTGAATAATTTTGTGGTTGACACAAACAAGCTTTATTCTGATTGCAAGTGATCCTATATTTAATGTAGTCTGCGTTGTATTTTCTTTTATCAGTTTTTAATGTTGCTCATGGTTTTATGTTGGCATCTAACTAACTTCTAATGTTTGATTGGATACACAGCCCCCAACAACAAAATATATATTTTTTAGTCCATAGGTTGAGTCTTATTTTAGTCATCCTAACTTGTATATACAATATTAATGAAAAATATACAGTTTCTATTATTTGCATTTAGCATTTTTTATTATTCCCAGACTAGGGTTGGGATCCACCAAATAAAAAATACTTAAAGGATGCTCACAAAAATAATGTTTTATTAACAAAGTTCGGGAGGAGCACGTTCAGTTAATTAACACGAGTGGAGTGAACTCAGCAATCAATGCTCCAGTACTCTGGGTTCGGGCCAAACTCCGAGCTCGTAGCCCTCCCCCCGGACAGCACGCCAATTACGCATTAAATCTTATCCACTCTAATTATATGTAAGTGTGAACTTGTGAATGAAAATTGTTGAATTGTATATCAACGCAAGCTCTACGGTTAGAAGAATTGTTGCTGATTTACTGTCAGGTGACAGTGAGAAGCAGATGGAAAGTGTGAAAGTGACTCTTTAGTCAGACCACATATTAACATGCTTCCTTCACTGAGGAGATTTAATAAATACTGAGTTTCAATCTGACATGGAAGGGTGAGTGACACCATAATACCACCTTCATTAAGCCACCAGGAACAGACGCACACTATCAAACTTCCTCGCTGCAATCAAGAGACTTCCCCAAGGGCTGGAGGAGGATAGAGAATGACAGACAGTGGAAATGAAAACTAGGATGCCAGTGCCCTGTTGAAAATACCAAGTTAACCATATGAAACCTACAATATCGAACTTTGCTGAAAAAGTTGTTTGCACGCAATCTTCTATATGCCTTCTGTCATCTGATTGCTAGTTTAGACTTTTTTGATAAAAGGACTTTTAGTACGATTCTAAATATGCTCACTTTCAGTCCACAAAACAGTTTGTTTTACTTTGCAATCTTTAATTATTTTATAAAGTAAAGTAAGAATAGCTTTTATATTGTTAGTAATATTTCAAGATGCATATTTACTGGAATGAAGCAACTTACTTTATTGTTTACTTTATTGAAGAGAAAATATGTTAAAATGTGAGTATCACAGGCTTTTGAGGACTGAATGTACATCTCTCAATCATCATTGTATTGCATTACATTATATATTTTGCCCCCACAATAAAAACTAGAGCTTTGAACATATATTCCCCCAGTTTTACAGACCAGGCTTAGGCTAAAATGCAGGTTTCAGCTGTTTTAACTGAAAACAACTTGGACTGGGATATCTTAAAATGTCAGTGCCATTGTTTTGTCTCTAGATGCAGACCATAATAGTATCAAATTATGACAAAACATAAAACACATGCAACATTTTATTAATATTGTTATGTATCAAATATTTTGTTTAATAAAAGTTTAATAAAGACAATTATTTTAATTTTAAATATATACATGTACTTTTATTCTTTAAATCCGTCACTTAAAAATAACTAAACGAAAGATCTGTGTCAGCGCAGTTAGAGAACCAATCAGTCAGAAGTGACGAA